GGGGGGGGGGGGGGCACACGGCGGCGACGGCGAGGGTGGATGAGGTCCCTTCCTGATGTGCGCGCCGCGGCGCTGTGTGAAGTGTCTGCCCCGCTACGCAGGTATGGATGCAGCTCGACCCACAAGTTTGTGCTTGAAACCAGCTGGCAGGCCTGGCAGCAGCACGCGCGAGTCACACGCCGCCGCCCGCCACCCGCCTGGCCACACGCAGGTGGCCCCGGGAGTTTCGCGGCGTCGAGTTTGACAACTACATTGACTGGCTCCTGCCCGCCGCGGCGGTCTCGCTGCTGGGGGGCCCCGCGATCTGCATCCCCTGCGGCCTCACGCGCGCCGGCCTGCCCGTCGGCCTGTCGCTGGCGGGGCCGCCGGGGTCGGAGCGGCGGGTGCTCGCGGCGGCGGCGGCGTACGAGGCCGCGCACGGGTGGCGCCGGATGGTGCCGCGGCGGCCGGCGGCGGCGGCGGTGGCTGAGGCGGAGGCCCAGCAGCAAGTGTGAGCAGGTGTAACGCCGCTGCTCGAAGGTCAAGTTCCGCCACGGCTGCAGCGTGCTATGACTGCGGCAATATGTTCTGGCCTGTTTTCAAGCAATGCAAGCGTGTGGACGGGATGAGAAGGTAGTGGAGGCTGCAGGCCTCATCCATGGGAAGCTGTCCATGACTATACCATTCTGCTGACTTGCCTGCAACCCACCGCCGCCTGTGAGCCCGTTGCTGAGGCTGCTGGCGAGAGCGGCATAGCTTTAAATCTCAAACTGTCGTACGGGCAGCGCAGGGCGGGGTGGATCACAGCAACGTGCAGCAGCAAGCAGCAGTGCGGCGCGCTGCGCAAGCAGCGCTGCTGCAGCGCCCGCACCGGTCAACTCTGGGTCAAACGGGCTTCAGCACTTGCATAGGTGGGCATGAGGCGTGAGATAACGCATACAGGAGCTCCTGCCTGACACCGCGGTCCCGATCGCCTTCGCGAAGCGATATCCCAACCGACCTTCGAGCGGAAACGTGCGGTCGACCCTCCCAATTCCGCGCAAAGACCATAAATAGCACAGTCCGGGCTGGATCAACTCATTGATACACATACACACACATGTCTTCGGCCCCTCAAGCCAACTCGGGCCTGGAGCAGCAGGCGACACCAAGAATCAACAACGTCGATCTGTCTGCACCGTCAAGGGCCGAGCCGCGTCTGTGGGCGTTGGGTGCGCCTGCCGCCCCAGCCGTGGCAACACATGGCGGCCCTCAGCTTGCAATCCTAGCGGCCGCCTTCACTGGGGCCGTATGACGCCTGGGCGCCGCACCCGCTATTATGTGCTTAGCACAGAACGCAGCTGCGGCGTCCTGCGTGTGGTTGTCCTATCACCCGCCGGTATGTGCTTGTGCACAGAAAGTTGCTGACTGGGCCAACGGCATGGATCGTGTCAGGGCAGGCTGCTCCCCCAACGCGCGACAACGCGCGTCAGCGGGGCCGTGACCCCCCCATTTTTCCAATGCAGCCGGCGTTCAAAGCGCCGGCCATATCTCCGCTGATCAACGCCGCCCCGTAGCTGCCTCCTGCCCTTGCTGGCTTCAGTGAAGAGCCTGTGCAGCCAGGCTTGAGCTTGCTGTATCAAAAATGGGTCAACACCAGCACCGCAGTTGGTGCTGTGGCTGCCTAACGATGTGGCAATAATCCTTCTGCACATACCTAGTGGTTGCGGGCTTGTTGGCGTTGCCAATCACTTTTGCCCCCACCACGCAACACCCCCAACCCCACACACGTCCACTCACCCCCCCACACCCACACACACACTCACCCATCTACCCACCTACGAAAACATGCACGAGCCCATCTTGACGAACGTGCGAACGTACGTGCGCGTGCGCGCGCACACACACACACACACACACACACACTCACACACTCACACACACACACACACACACACACTCATACATGCACACACGCGCGCACGCACGCACACGCACACGCACCGAGGCAGCTCGCAGGCGGTCATGCCTCTGTTACACCGCTGCGGCCAGCCGCCTCTCCTTTGCGCCCAGCAAAACCTTCTCGTACTGCTCAGCCGCCCCCTCCCATGAGTGGTCCGCCGCCATGCCGCGCCGCACCACCGCGCCCCACGCCGCCGGCGACGAGCGGTAGCAGCGCACGGCGGCGGCGACCGCGCCCGCGAGCGCGTCCAGGGTGGCTGGGGAGAAGGTCCACCCGGTGCCCTCCTCTGCGACCGTGACAGAGGGGGACAGAGAAAAGGTCCGGGGGGAGGGGATGCATGCTCTAGCGAACGGGCATCCTGCGGCAAGTATCCACAGGCCTGGCAAGCACCTGCCGGCGTATCAGACACCGCGCCAAGGCAGCCCAACATAGGAGGTGATGCCGGGCGCTCTAGGAACGGCCAGTGCGTGCGGGTGTGGGGAGGGGAGGGGCACCAGTCGCGTCGCACCCTGACGCGTCTCATCGCCGATTCTGAATCATGCCGAGACTCCGCCACCAGCATCCCCCGCTCACCTCCCCCGTCGAAAGCGCTGACGTCATCGATGGTGTCCGCCAGGCCCCCAGTGGCGTGGGCCACGGGCACGGTGCCGTAGCGCATGGCGTAGAGCTGATTGAGGCCACATGGCTCAAACCTGGGTGACAAGGCAGGGATAAGGCAGGGCAGCGCAGGGCAATTCGAGGCATGAGGAGGCGGAAGGATGGGGCGGGCGCAAGAGCAGGGCGACAGGTAAACCAGAGGCTCAAGTAGCATGTTGCCCAAGGATGCAGGATCCAGAAACGGCAATCTGCAATTTGGGCCCCAGCGCTCAACTCGGTCGGCCATCGCGCTGGCCGCCGTGCGTCGCCTGAGCTGGGGCCATGCGGGGCACCCCCTGCCCCGCACCTGGAGGGCATGAGCAGGATGTCGCAGCCGGCCATGAGGCGGTGTGCCAGCGGCACGCTGAAGCCGACCACGGCCCTGAAGAAGAAGCCGTATGTTTTGGTGGCCTCCTGCAGGGCGGCCTCGTAGTCGGGGGCGCCGCTGCCCAGCATGACCACCTTGGGTCCGGGTTAGGGTCGGCGCAGGGGGTCGAAGCGAGGCAGGGACGAGTGAGACGTCGGTGAGCAGTAAACAACGGGGAAGCACTGTTCCACAACGGCACTGTAAGCCAGGTGGTCCGTGTGGCTCAGCGGACTGCGAGCCCAGGGCATGGTCGCAGAATCGGGGCCGCCCCGCCGCCAAGCCGCGCGTGCCGATGGTGTTTCTTGGTCCCACTGCACGACGACGGCGACAGTGTCACCGGGCGCCCCTGCGTCCAAAGCCCGCTGACCTGGCAGCCCAGCGCCGCCAGCGCGGGCAGCGACTCCAGCACCAGGTCTGGCCCCTTCTGGTGGTCCAGCCGCCCCACAAACCCCACCAAGGGCGCCCTGGGGTCCGGCTCCAGCCGCAGCTCCCGCTGCAGCGCGCGCTTGCAGGCCGCCTTGCCTGTGGCGTTGCGAGGAGAGGTGGTGCGGGCGGGTGAGCGTTGCGAGTGGGGGTGGGTCGGCTCGGTGCTTGGGGACGGAATCACCACAAGTGCATGGGCGGCGGGGGGCGGGGGAGCACGGGGTATTGCGGAGTGCAAGGGTCAGCCGGATGCTGCTGTGCTCACGGGACTAATCTCGTCGGTGCAGAGGCGGCCACGCAGCCCGTCTGCACGCATATACACCGTATGTACGTTCATGCGGCGCCATGCATCATCCTGCCAGGCCCCCACCCGCCAGGTCCTGGGCGCTGTAGTTGGCCGGGATGAGGGGGTCAGACGAGGGGTCCCACTCCCGCGTGTCGATGCCGTTGACGATGCCCCGCAGCAGCGCGCGGCGCTGCGGAGGGGGAGCCAGGGGCGGGAGCCGGTTTCAGACAGGCCGCACGCGTCCGTCGGTCTCGCCTCCACGCTGGTATCCAAAGGACGGACCAAGGCAGCGGCAGTGCACCGATGCGAAGCCAGGCTTCAGTAGGGAGTCCCAATGTCAGGATGAGGTGAAGAGGTCACAAAGCACGCGCGGGACCAACAGGCACATCCAGCGCACCGCGGCGCGGTGCGGTGGAAGGGCAGGCTCACCTGCGCCAGCAGGGTGTGTATGCCCTGGGGCTGCGGCGATGACGTGATCTCGAGGGCGTAGTTCTGGGACACAGTGATCAGGCTGTCCGCGCACTCCACGCCGCCCTGCGTGGTCGCCGACGGCGCCGGCGGCGCACGATTGCATGGGGCGCACGATGGAGAGAGGGGTCCTTCGACACTCGTCCCAGGTGGCAGGGGTTGCGAATGGCCGCACGGCTCGGCGGCGCCCGCGGCTGCGCGGAAAGCGGGAGGCGTGCGCATGGCCGCCCTGGTCTACCCCTTATGACCCTCGCCATCCTCCTCCTATCCCGCGCGCATCCCACCAAAGGGTGCCCGCTCCCTTGAACCTCACGCCGCCCATGCCAAACCCAGCCCCCCCAGTCCCCACCAAAACAACCCACCTTGAGCACGTTGAGGGTGGCCTCCCTGTGATTGTTGGGGTCTTCGCCCGGCCCCGGCGGCGGCCGCCACTCCAGCAGGCCGTACGTGCCGCCCGGCAGCGACAGCCCGTTGAAGGCGTGGCTGGGGAACACGCCCTTGGGGGGGGGGGCGTGGGCAGGTGCGTGGTGGGCAAGGGGTAGCGCAGGTCAAAAAGGGGTATCTCAATTCAAAGAGAGGAGGCCGGCTGTGAATGATCCTGTCAGGGTCATGCCTTCACTTTCATCAACAGTCTTGCGCATTCGCGCACGCACACACGCATGCACGCACGCACGCACGAAAAATTGCGCACCTGGTGGGCGAGATTGTGGATGGCCAGCGCGCAGGTGGCGCCGCGGTACGCGCCCCCCTCCTGGTACCGGCTCCTGAGGAACACCGGCAGCAGCGCCGCGTGCCAGTCGTTGGCGATGAACGTCACGTCATCGCCGAGAGACCTTTATGTGGGGGCGGGTGCCGGGGCCAACGGGGGATCAGCGGCGGCAAGTGGGGCAGAGTGGCGTCGCACGCGTGCTCACAGCGCGCGGGCACGCCGCGACGGCATTGGTCTGGTTGAGTTTTGGACATGTGTTTCATGGTCACGGCATGCGCACGAGTGCGTTGAGGGGGGAGTTGAGGTCTTGCTGTACGGCAATCAAGCAACGGCGCGGCGGGGATGAGAAACGCGCGGCAGGCAGGGGGCACACGGCAGGGTGGAAGGGAGGGGCGAGGCGCGACGAGCAGGTGAGGGGAGGTGACAGGCAGGAGCGGGTCGAGTCATGCGCGCGCACCGGCCGCCGCTCGCCGCGATTCTTAGCGGCGCCTCAAGCGCGGCCAGCGACAGTAGTGCGAAGCGAAACAGGTTGTCCTCAAACGGCCCATTGGCGTCGCCTGGTTTGAAGGGTAGAGCGCGGAAACGCGGCGCGTGTGCGGCGGCGAGGCAAAGCCGCGCTTCTTGACGACAGCTTGATTTATCACCTAACATGCATTTGGCAGCTGCTATCGGCTCGCCTATGCAGGTTCCCGACCGCACGCCGGAACGTCTGGCGGCGGCGCGGGGACGCTTCCAGCCCCTCGAGCCTGCGCCTCGCAGCAGACCCTTGCGCGGCATGCAAAATGTTTCGTGCGCTCGCCGCCGCACCGTAGGGTGTCCCGGGGCGCTGAAACACGGGGTGGTCCACAAACAACCACTCCACGCCGTCCGCTTCCAGCCGGTGCAGCTCCACTGCCTGCCGCCCGCCGCCGAGCTCGATGTGCAAGGGGCCGCCCGGGACGACCTGCGCGGCGGCCGCAGGGGACGGCGTGAGTGCGTTGCAAGGGGCGAGCGCTGAGGCGGCGCGCGGCGCGGGTGCGTGGCCCTGGGGCGTGCGATTGTGGCTTGGAGGGCGGCGGCGCCGATGTGCGACTGGAGCGTCCCTCTCGTGCATGGCTGTCTGCCTGTCCATTCAAAAGTGACGCATGAGGACGGGCGTCCCCTTTCCCCAAAACCGATGTCAGGCGCGGCGCACTCACTTCACCTGTCACCCCATGCAAGCTCTGATGCAGTACAGTCACCGCATGCGGGTCCGCACCTCCGCGCCGTCGTACCGCGCCACGTCGGCGCCGCCGTTGGTGTGGCGCGCGGTGACGACAGTCACCCGGTGGCCGCGCGCCGCCAGGGCCTGGGGCAGGGCGCCCATGACGTCACCCAGGCCCCCCGTCTTCGACCAGGGCGCCACCTGGTGAGCCAATTTGGGCCATTTTGGTTGGTTGTGGCGGCTGCAGGACGAGGGTGAGCTGGAAGCAGAGGTCTTATGTGCTGCCGTTACTACATGCCTTGAGGTACACACAAGATGCACGGCCAATTGGGAGCAGGAGAGCGGCAATAAGGTTTGGCCCCGCGTCCAGGCGAGGAAGCAGGGTGGCGCAGCAGCAGGAGACCGGCGGACATAATGGCGGGGGCCCAGATGCCGGGCGCCGGCGCCGGCGCCGCGCGCACCTCGGCGGCGCAGAAGACGATGCTGAGGGGCTCCGTGCACTGGGTGACGCGCGGTCGGGCTGCGGGGTAGCAGGGGCGGCGTGCGGGTTGTGTGTGGGGGGGAGAGCGCTCGGTTTGCAAGAACGGCCCCAGAAAGCCCCTGCAGTTTTGCAATCATTGCCTGTTATATCCTCATAATCAAGGCCCTGTGCAGCGATGCGCAACAAAGGCAGCACCTTGCTCCCTTCCGAAAAGTACATATGTGATTTGGAGGCACGCCAGTCATGATCTGCGGGCAGGCGCTCACTCTTGCGGGTGCCCTGTGGTGCCCTGGGCGCCAGGGGCTCCAGGGGCTCCAGCACAGGCCGCCCCCAGGCAGACGGGCCCATGCCCAGGGGTGCTCGCCGCGGCGGCGGTCGCGTCGCTGCTGCGTCGGCGGACGGTGCAGGTGTGGCGTTGGCCGGCGCTGCTGCTGGCGTGGACGCTGTCCCGCGATGCGTGGGGTCTGTTTTGGGGGCCTGGGTGGGTGCAGCTGCTGCTGGGGGTGCGACTGTTGGTGGGACTGTGGCTGCTGTTGCTGCCGCTGCTGGTGTTGCTGCCGCTTTCGGGGTTACTCCCGCGCCTGCTTGGGGCGCTGCTGCTGCTGCTGCTGCTGCTGCTGCTGCTGCTAGTTGGGGTGATGTTGCCGCTGCTGCTCGGGGCGCTGCTGCTGCTGCTGCCGCTGGGCGTGCTGCTCCCGCTGCTGCTGCTGCCGCTGCTGCTGCTGGGCGTGCTGCTGGCGCTGATGCTGGGGCTGCCGCTGGGCGTGCTGCTGCCGCTGATGCCGGGGCTGCTGCTGTGGGTGCTTTTGCCGCTGCGGGAGCTGTTGCTGCTGTTGAGGCTGAAGCTGGTGCTGGGGCTGTGGCTGGCCCTGGGGCTGGCCTGGCTGCTGGGCCTGGCGCCCGGGCCTGGGCAGCTCCTGGAGCTGGGGCTGCGGCTGGGCCTGGGGCCCCCAGTTTTGGCTGCGCCGTCGCCGGCTGGCTCACGGCACTGGCGGACGCAGCGGGGCGCCTAGGCGCCGGGCGTGTTGTGGCGCCCGCGGCGGGAGGCGCACCCCGCGGGGCTTTCTGTGACGCAGGGGGCAGGGCGGTCGACGCCGGCTGCACGGGTGAGAAGGCTTTCACACGCGCAAGTGCTGCTGCCGCTGCTGCTGCTGCTGCTGCTGCTGCTGCTGCTGCTGGGGCAGGGGCAGGGGGGTTGGGCTGCTGCTGCTGCTCCTGCTCCTGCTCCTGCTCCTGCTCCTGCTGCTGCTCCTGCTCCTGCTGCTGCTGCTGCTTCTCCTGCTGCTGCTGCCGCCCCGCCGTCGCCGCGCGGGCTGCTGGTGTGGATGCCGCCGCCGCCCCCGCCGCATCGATCGTCGGAGGCCGGGGCGGCGCCTTGACCAAGACGGTGTTGTGTGCGCCTGCAGCCACCGCAGCCTGCGCCGCCGCAGACACGGCCGCCGCCGCAGGCGCGGCGGGCACCTCGACTGTCGCCGCTGACGCCCCGCCCTGATGCTGGACTGGGGGCGGCCCGCCTGAGGGCTGGGAGGGGTTGCTAGAGGTGGCACCGGCGACTGGAAAATCGTCATCGAGCACCGTCTTCACTGCCCGCTTCAGGAGTTGGTTCTCCCGCTTCAGACGCGCAAGGGTATCAGCGAGCCGGGCTCGCCGCTGCTGCGCATCATCCGATGCTCCAGCGGCGCCAGCGCGCACGCGCGAGCGCGGGGGCTGGGTGTGGAGTTTCAGGCCTGATAGCCTCATTGAAATTGAGGTTTCAATTGCTCTGCCGCATGGCAGATTCGCAAAGCACAAGGTGCCCGAGATCAATTGCACCAGGATCACACCAACACGTCGTTTTTGAACAACTGTTTATTTCCGCGTGTATTCAAAATCCAATGTGAGTGAGTCGCACATCCTCCGAAGAACTTCGCAGGACTTCACCGCTGGCAACTGTTGCAGCACCGCCACACAGTGTCATGGCACCGAGCCTACACCCAAAATGTGAGAACAGCAGCTCTCCCTGGACGTCGATTTTCAGGCCGCTCCCCTGGGACGGCGCCGCTGCCGACCATCCGTTTGACCCACAGTCCAACACGCTTGTTCACCGTCGGCCCCGGTGTTGTTGCGCGCCCGAACGCTGCAGGGTGTGGTACCCATACGGCCTGACCAGTGACCGCATGTGAATAGCCCTGGCAAGTTGTGCGGCGCACCAGTACCCCGATGCTGCCACAGCCTCGAAATCCCACACCGCGCTTCCAAGCGGCGTTGGCAATTGGCAGCCTCCCAATGGGTGGGGTCCTTAGGGTGGATTTTGCGGCTAGTCTGCACTGGAAGCGCTGGCCAGTGGTGCTCTGCCATTATCGGACGTCGATAACAAGGGAAGGGCTGGTTTCTTTGGCAAATGTTACATCATTCGTCGCAACATTCAGTTGCCGTGCTTGTTATCTTCACCCACCACAACCGCCTCAACCGCGATGCGTATGGGGCCAGCCCCTCAGGATAGGCGCCTACGATGCCTGAGCAGCCGGTTCCAGCCGCGCACCAATGACCCACCAGAGAACCAATCAACCCAGCCCAACGCAAGCAACGGTCCTGCAAATATGTTGATTCCCGCGCAAGTACACCCAGATCTTTCCAGCAATGCTCGCGCCCTCCCGCCACACCTCGCCTCCACCTCCGAACCCTCCAGTAAATCGAGCCTCCAGTAAAACCCCCGTATCACCAGGACCACCAATCACCATCGCGCCTCGTGCGAAATTCCTCCTCACGGCGCCGCTTCATAGTGTGGTGCCACCTTGTGCCGTCACACAGCGTCGACCCGCTGGGACTCCAAGTTTTCAAATCACACCCTGCACACCCCGTTTCATGACGCATCATCATCACACCAGCATGAGCAGCTCTGTCAGTGCCTCAGACAGCACCCCCGCCAGCACCGCCCGCCCCTCCGCGCTCGCGAGCCCCTCCCCGTGCGCCAGCCCGGCCGGCGGCAGCAGGCTCAGCGGGCCGCAGCAGTTGTCGCGCGCCGCCTCCAGCAGGGCTGCGCCCTCGGGGTTGCCCTCAGGCAGCACAAGAACGGCGGGGCCTGAGAGGGAGGGAAAAGGCGATGCGAAGCACTTGTGTAAGGTACCGCATGCATGCAAGCTCCGACCGCAGGGCTTTCATCCCCTAGGGGTTGGAGTGCGAGCGGGGCGGCTGCGAAAGGCTTGGGTGCCCACACTTCAGGCTGGGGTCAGCCAGATAGGAAATGCCAGGGCCAGCAGCAGCAGGCACGACGGCAAGAGGGGGCACGGCGCGACCCGCTAGTGAGCCCAACGGGCGTTTTGCGGACTGGTAGTCGTCCGGTCCAGCGAGGCTAATGTCGTGGCCCCATCAGTCATCACCTTGGAAGACGTACTCAGGGGACGCGTAGCGCGCGCACAGCGCCGCCGCCAGCGCTGCCGCCCGCGCCGCCCCCTCGACTCGCGCGTCCCACCCCCACGCCGCCGGAGAGCCCGGCGGCGGCCGCCGCCGCTCGGCGACCCGCCGGAGCGCACGCTGCGCCGCGTCGGCGCGCGGCGCTGTGTCGCCCATCTCCGCCGCAAACTCCGCCGCAAACGCCGCCCACAAGCCGGCGCCGTCGGGCCCGCCGCGTCCAACCACCGCCTGCGGCCCTCCCGCCTCCAGGAGCAAGTCGAAGAGCGCGTACGCCTCCGGCGGCGCGAGCCGCGGCGCCGCCGGCAGCGCGGGCGCGCCGTCCGCGAGCACGAGCGCGACAGTGCCGGGGGAGCGGTGGCCGGCGTGCTCTAGCTCTGTGGCGATGGCGGCGGCGAGGACGCAGCTGAAGGGGCCGCAGCCGGCGAGGGCGTGGGGGCCGTGGGGGGCCAGGC